TGTGTGTGTGTGTGTGTGTGTGTGTGTGTGTGTGAAGCCCGTGTATTCAAACCAATGTGTATATAGCAGGAACAACCATAGAATGTCTAGTTTCAATAATCATTGCGAAACAACAATATCTCCAATATGTAGGCCTAACATTCTATTACTGTACAACTTAAAACAATATACCTGAATATGGAATACAACCACCACCTCCTATATATACAGTTATGAAGTGAGTTCTGTCAATTTAATGTCCAGGATAACCAAATGACTTGTAAAAGCATTCAAATAACTAATAAAGTAGTTTGACTCCAACTCTGTAAGACACTTAGCAGTTGAAGAAGTAAAACTCACTACACACATGATATAAAAACTACTAACAGGCATTAGCGTCTTAAACCTTGAAGTGTCATTTATCTTTCTAATTCTGCGAGTATCATAGGCTCAGTAGAGAATGGAATACGGTATAAAGGCAGTACAGTAGATAGAACAAAAATCACTGTACAAATGTAAATATACAGTATAGTTCATGATAAACCGATTACCACCACCAGCTTCCAACCTACGAACAGTATCAACCATGTCACACAGTAAAATGAAATACTGTACTCAGAATACAGTACATTATCTTGTACATGAAGGAAACGGCTTCTACTGTGTCCGTTGTCATCAGTGACTTGTTAATAGAGACAATGAGTCATAGAGGGTATGGCAAAAAATCTTCAGACCGAGCTCCTGTATCTTCTTCATCTTTATACAGCCTATATAAAAAGGTCAAAACTATTCCCTGGGTGAGTACAGTATGTCGGACTGATGGATGAATAAAGGTTAAACCAAAAACTTATAAGCACAAAGATACTCCAAACTTGCAGGGTCCCTCAATGAGAATTATTGTATTTAAACTACAAAAGCACCCCACGATAACGCTGTTTTAAGCTGAAACTTTTTTTAACTTATCATTAAAGCATGACATCACAGGTACTTCAATACAAGTAAAACGCTGATGTAACACAAAGGAGCCTCGATAACGCTCTTGATATGAATAACCAAGCAGTAAGAACACCCGTATACAGGAGTAATCTGGTAAAGGGACTCAAAACAAAATCCTGGAAATGTATGTAGCACACTTCATATAACACTGCAACCATGTACTGTATAGTATCTGGTATCTTACACAATGCATAACGACAATTGCTCACTCCTCTTCCCTGATCTTGTACACTGCATAAAAACCTAATTACTCGTACTAGGGTCCTCCTCCACCTAATCTTTGACACACAACTAGCGCTGTTAACTCAACTGGTAACATTCAGGTGGTGCGTCTCGCATTTAACATGCGGTGTCAAGCTGGATTACTCAAGGCGGATGAGCATCAGCAATTCGTATACATTTATGCTCTGGTTACAAAATAACTAATCCACACGTGTCCACTGCAAGCACTAAGAGTCCTCTCTCTCTTTTTCCTTGTAGCACCCGCCAACTGGTCATTCTCGTGTCAGTTCTACGTAGTGGGATGTTCCACCCCAATCTAGCCCACCTATCTTAAGATTCTTTCTGTAAAAAATTCAAAGTTCGCTGTTCACTAATTATTAACCTCTGTAATGCGAAGCAACTTAGAAGGTGTTGGATCGTAAATTATTATTCTTAATATAATAAACAAATCCTGACACGGATCCAATTTTCATTTTAATGTTATAGCACATATAGCCGGACTACCTACAGTCCAGTATGTTATTACTTGGCTAATGTACAGTGTCTCGTATATAGAGCAACAGGCACGTACGTACAGCCTAACCTTGAAACGTAAGTGTACCTATTGAGTAGAGGTATGTTAAACACTTCCGTAGGAGGGGACGCTGTACCGTACATGTGCTGGATCTTTGTTTACTCTTGTCTTATATTAACCACGTTAGCTTCCTCTACTTCAACGTAGAGTAAACAAAACAACCTTAGTGTGGTAATTTCCGGTTCCAAGAGTGTCATGTTCCACACCACCACAGACCTTGTGTCGTCTTGGATCTCTTACTGCAACTCGCCTGGCCTTGGCCTTGACCAGCCCTACAAGCTCAATCAAGCCTAGCCCTGACTGTGCCAGAATTCACCACCGTGAGACACTTTAATGCAATACCTGACGTCTGGAGTCTTTCTTGTTCAGTAACTATATAAATATTTTCAAGACAATATCACGTAAGTTAATGCTCCAAGTGTTTCCTCGCGGGCTGAACTTAACAATGCAGTAAATCTTATAAACGATACCAGCTTTCTCGGGTTATCGACACTTATATGACGTAGTAAGAGAGCAGCAGCCTGTGTTACTTACAAACTGTCGTATGTAGTAGGAAACTTGGTATTTCACCTTATTAATGGTAGTAGTAGTAGTAATAGTGCAGTAGACTCCAGCACTGTCTGAACTATCAAAAGCAACGCGTTATCTTCAGCTTACCTCATTCCCGATTAGCTAACTAGTGTATTATCCGAATACAGAATTGGATTTACGTTCTATGTCGGAGGTGAGAATGACTGGCAAGCGAAGTCGTTTATAGCAGAGCCTTTCATAATCGCATTAATCTATTAACATTAGAACTAAGCCTGAACAACAGACATTACACAGTTCTAACAAAGTTCACAATACCATACACCTTTTTTCATAAATAAAAAAGTACTTGCGTTTAAATTAACACATCTTCAACAACTCCCATCCCCCAAAAAACTCAATGCTGGGGGAATATTATAGGCGTGATGCTCAAGTCCACTAGGAGCGCCGTGTGAACAAGAATACGTGACAAGTCTATCAGTATTACAAAAAAGGGGGGTTTCAAAATTTGGCAGAAGATTTTCAATACATGAAACACTGAATTTAACTTTTCCTGGAATGACTGACCGGTGCACGAAGTGGTATGCAGTGACAACACTATACAAAGACTGAGACATTCATACTTAAGTAACGACATGACCCTCAGGTATAAATATTGTGTCTGTGCTCTTTGTTCTAAACGTTCTCTATACAGCTCAGTAGAGTATACAACAATCCCATGATGTACGCAGAAGCCTAATTACCGGGTAAAGTATTATACACTAAATGTAACAACTACCCAAATGGTGTGTACAGATGTCAGACTTATTTAAATAGAATGGATATTCTAGATGGCACTGAACGCTAAGTGCAATGCGTTATTAGAAAGCAGACTTGGGGGGTGTATGCAAAAACAGGCGCAACCAAGGTTTTTAAACAAATACATACAACAATTACTTTTAGGAAAATTACTCTCAAAACGCTTAGGTCTACATTACATATACCTAAGAGTTATGCTTCTTGCTTTACTGCTGACAAAGAGAGACTTTCATTTTAATTTGAGAATCCAATAGACCTACAGTATGTAACGCTCTAATTCTCAAGAGGATTGAAACTGAGAAAATCTTACTGTAATATGTATTTCAAATTTTAAGCAATTATATATAAAAAAAAGATGAACCTGTTCAGGCAACCCCAATCAGCAAAATGGAAAAGCTACATTAAAACGTTTAGTTACTGCCTCTGTCCATACGACAAGGGATTATTTTTGAGCCGAGTCCCTTCACCCACTACAACCTAACTGCTGGCCGAGGTAGTAACTCAGGGGCTGTTACGATAACTATCGTCACTCGCTATTTTATTTGGAGTAAGTGGGCCAAGTCTACCTCATATTTCTTTTCGTTTTCAGTTGAATATTTCCCCATAACGTGTAGATAGTTTGGGTGGAGCACCAAGGCTACACAACCATCGTGACGAGGATACTTGCCCTTTCTCTTATTTGAAAATAATGTTCCGATGTACTGAGTACCACCGCTGCTGATCAAAACCTTTACGTCTGGCTGTATTGACAAGTAATACTACAGGGTTAAGAGAACTATGGATAAGATTCTACCTATTGCTTCATGAAATACAGCTCAATGAACAAATTTCATCGGCATTATTACAGTAACATAAATGACTATACTGTAAACGAAGGCACCAACTTGTCAGAAGGTAAGAGAACATCCGCTACCACAATAAATCTATTGTAGAGATTTCCTCAGAACGATGTATTGTTTTTATATTCAAAATACTTACAATACAAACTCTGATCAGCATCTACCCGGTAAATGTAGGTACATGGAGACCAGTTCGGGATTGTGTGTCCACACAAAGGGCAGGCAATAACTACTTTACTTAAAAAGTAAAAAGTAACCATTAGTTATTCCTACGTAGTAATTTAAGTGTTAACAACAAAGAATCCTTCACCAAGTCATTGTTATCGCCAATCATTGAAGCCATTCACGAAATATTCCAGTAGGAACACCATAGGATAAAACAGTGCCACACTTCTAAACACATCTCTGTGAAGGAATAGGAGCTCACGTACAAGGATTCTGTTAAGCCTCTATTATGGTAGCATATTACACTTTCCACAGACAAGATAAATGTCGAGCACGCTTATAATTCTTTTTATTTTAATTTGCGCTCTGTAGTAATTATCTTTTTGCCTTCACGTGTTCCGGTACAAATGTGAAAACACTATCTCAATATGAGGACTACTTTTTATACTGGAATAAAACATAACTGGAGATTTTAAGATAAATAATTTAATAATGTAACAGTGAAAGCGCCGAGACGCGGTCCTTTCCTTTACACAAGTGGGAATCGACTAAGGAGTGGAGATGTGAATTCTGGCATTATGTCGGAAACGTCAGTGGCCCTGCGTACGGTACAGTTAGTTGACAGTGAGAGAACACAAAATAGACGTCCTTTCCACGACTAACACAATGTAGAAAATCTGAAGTGTCATAAATCAAACAAGCAATTACGTTTGCATGAGAAGACACGACGAGTTCATTAAGCAAGTCTCACTTGTAACTTTTTTTTAAATAATTTAACCGGGTCTTGTTGATCCAATAAATCTACTGAAAGCATTGCATATAACTTCAAATTTTAATTGATGAAAAATATCTAGTTGTTCGAAGAGTACATACTGTTTACTAAAGTACAGTATATTTACCTGCTGTCCGTATTCCACTCGTCTGCTAACCTGTAACAGTAAAACAGCTGTATTAGACATGTTTATTGAATAAAATGGTTTATATATATATATATATATATATATATATATATATATATATATATATATATATATATATATATGGAAACAGAAAGGAAGAAATAAAGACGAAAGCTAAGGTGATTTTCCGTGTGATTTTATCAAGATTTATCTTATCCACGTTTTCATTGTGGATTTACATGAAAAATATAATATATATATATATATATATATATATATATATATATATATATATATATATATATATATATATATATATATATATATATATATATATATATATATATATATATATATATATATATATATATATATATATATACTACCGTTACGGAAAATCATTTACCATCAGAGCCTACTGTAGAAAACAGACAAAAAGTTTTAACAATTACAGATAATATATAATGAAAACGAAACATTGTTCTAAAATTTACCTTCCGCAAAACATTTTTAAAACGAGTATTATAATTTAAAAACCAATAAAAAATGACGGGAGACCACCGTACAAAACTATCAGAAAAAAAAACAACTAAAACAAACAGGGGGTAGTATGACCTTAATTAAGACAAGCCTTAGTGAGAAAAACAATTACAAATGGGTGGCTTTACTTTATACCGATACAGGGCTTCCATTATGAGGAGGTCCGTCTCACAGTGCTCCTGCAAAGAACTGAGAAATCACTGTGAAAACGAAATGGCCCTGTTGGTAGGCGTGGTTACGGATAGCTGAATGTGGTGGTTGCGTGATTAACTGGCATGTTCGGACGGAACGACCCAAGTGCTCATGGATGCGAGTTATCAAATGCCTTTTTGTTTTACCTATATACTGTATGCTGCCCTACAGCTTTGAGACTAGTCTAAGAGAAATTTTTTGTTCGAATTCACTGAGAAGTTTCTTAAGTTTGTTTCTAAAGGTGAAAGTGAGTGGGCCTGTGTACGGGATGTTGTAACAAACAGAATATTTAGGAACAGTGTGACTGTGTAGGACCAAAATTCCTATTACGGGTTTTGTCTATAAATGTATCCGGAAATCTCTTAGGGAAACCATTGTTAAAGAGTACAGTAGCTCCTTTATATATGTCAGTTCAATGTCCAGATGTAAATAGCTTGAACGTGTATTAAAGGCTCTATCGGTAAGAGTACGCGAATCGGTTACCCAAGACAGAGGCGAGCAGTATATCTATTTGGCCGGAACTCTGTTTTTGTATGCACGTGTTTTTATCAATTCGAAAATAATGGAAAGTTTGGGTAAAAATTATTTACACATAGATGAACAACCTGATTTAATCTTGATCACAGTAGTGTCGCTGTGATGTCCAAAGTCTTTATTGTATTTATTTTTAAAGGGGAGAGGTCAAACAAACGTATCATTAGTCATTGCATTTTTTTTAACTCAATTTCTTAGTTTGGAGACATCATCGCTTTTAAACGGCGATAATAGTGCATCACCGTGAAATACGAGGGAGCGAAATGGGAGACGATCCAGTTGGGCAAGAAATGAAACAAACCGACGGAGGTGAGAGTTCTGAGGGCGATGATGGAAACAGTCAGGAGGTCGGTGACCGTGATGGTACCCTCCCCTCCCTCCTCCCCAATGTGCTATACAAAGTTACAAAACATTCAGATGACTTTTGCCACTCCCATTCTTGTCTTGAGACCCGTCCATACACCACTACACAGACTAATGATGATGATGATAATAAATAATAATAATAGTTCATTTTCCGAGATTTAGGTAGACGTGCCAACAGACTTCGCAATATATAAACAACAAAACAGCCAGCCAGCCTCAACAATGAATACCTTGAGTACATCCCCAGAAGTGAACTGACAACGTAGACCAGTGGTGAAAGTTCAGTTGACTACCCAAGCTTGTGTGTGACTGACCCGGCTCTCAAGTCGTCTGGTTCTATGGGGGTGCTATAAGCAGACTGACCCAAACATTTCACTTAACAAGTTAGATTATACAGTTCATAGTACAACGATTCACTAAGACAATATCCAATTTGATGTTGTACTGACAAAATATATGAGTACAGTATACAACTATCTTATATAGAGAATACACAAAAAGATACAGTCCGTCCGGCAGGGATGTTAGTGGCTAAATACGTGAAAGCACAGCTCGTGAAGCAATTGGTTAAGGGTTTTAAGGTTATGTTATGAGATACGTAAAGTCTCGTTCAAGATTCTTTGAACACTGCTGGAGACAGCCGGCAACTCGAGGCCAATTGTTTACTAGAGTACGCAGTACAAATCATGAATAAATGTAAAAGTGATCGGTGATTGGTTACTTAGTTCCCCGTTGCTTAATTTCATGATTGGGCTTTGTTGTTTCGTATTATATTATACTGCGTACTATAGTAAACAAACGGCCTCGAGTTGCCAGCTGTCTCCAGCAGTGTTCGAAGAATCTTGAACGAGATTGTATATTGCACGTAACACCTGTACAACAAACAGCCACACGAATCCGTATGATATAGACAAGGGAACGGCAAGACATGGAAAATTATAATATGACAACAACGTGTAAAGATTTCATATAAGACTGAAAATGTGATCACGGCACGACAAGGGATCAATAAAAGGTGTTCGAAATCTTTATCGGGTAATAACGTTTGAGAAGAAAATTGATCCCTTATACAGTTATGTCCTGCATCGCGATGGAAGTTGTGTTGTGAAATGTGTCCATGAATGAAGTTAGCAGTGGGCAGCAGGTGTAAGTTTTTTAAATAACAGCCTGCATAACTTAATCATCAATGTAACTAAAGTAATATAGTTTCATTCAGTTACCTGACTCTGAAACCTCAACTCCCCTAACTCCACATATTTTGTTTCATCATCTTCACTACACATTATTCTTTGTATTTATGATCACCAATGACGCTCATGTCATCAAACTCAAATTCTTATGCTAAGTTAAATCCCATGTCGTCTGATTGGACTGTTATGACGACATATCACACGTGCTGTACGTCTCATGTTTATTATCAATTGAATATTTATACCTGATGAACGCTCGTGCAATCTCATCCGAATATCCGACACATGACCGGTCATAAGAGGATCGAATGTTCACCTCAGGCGATTAAAGCAGTTCACGTAATCAGAATGGAATGACTCGAATGTTCCCGTAATGTAACTCCCTCTGGGGTTCATGTGACTTCGTCGAGCGTGTCATCTAACCTTTAACATTCACTCGCATCTGACTAGCTTACAACTCGTACTACACTACAGTCACTATCTCGCGTTTACTTAAAAGTCCACTTTTTAAGATTCTAAAAACTGGCGTCGTCAAAAGCTTATTAGTTCCGCAACAGTCGTACACAAACGTCCCTTGAAATAATCCTCGCTGTCATTCCGTGTTATATGATAATACCCAGTTGTTCATTGAGAGGGCTACACTCACAGTTCATTCAATGATATTTCGTGGTTCATTCATAATGAAACCCGTGGGTCATCCAGTTATTTCGAGGTTCATTCACGTCGGTGTTTCGTGGTTCATCCCCCAACATATTTCGTGAGTAGTTCACAAAGCTGTTCAATTAAATGAAAATATGTAATTTTAGCTAAGTGCCACTCCTAGACTAGTACGTCAACAAAAATAGCAATGAGTTTATTCTCCCCACTTTATATAATTTGCGACTCAAGGCTCTCTCTCTCTCGTGTGTCTGCGTGTCTAAGTGATCATTCACATCTACCCAGGATTGTTATCTTTCTTCTTCGCTCTTTTCATTCCTTAAAGCATAAGTACTGCCGATAACCCACATTTCTCTCCCTACCATTAACATAACCCACAGTATTCTGGGACTGATCCCCTTATAATCTATTACCCAACTCCACATTTAACCAGGCACTTCACCTGGCATTGCTCACCGTTTCAGACACTCTCCATACTTGTCCCCAGGTGAGTTACTGGCCCGATACTTCAAAACTAAAGTAGCGAGCGCGCGCGCGCACACACACGCACACGCACACACACACACACACACACACACACACACACACACACAGGCTGCAACTCTATTAATAAACCGTTTATTTATATTATTACACAACACATTTTTTTTATTTCTAAATATTATGCACCCAAATTAATTTTAACCTTGACTGCAAATTTAGCAGAACAAGGTTACCACTAAGATTCTCTTCAGGCCATACTTGAAGACTATGATAACAGAACACGTTATTAATTAAACTTGTCTGAAATATTCTTAAAGAAATACTAATACAACTCCCTTAGTTAAATCCATCGCTGTAAATTCGAATTATCCTGTTCACAACACCCAAACTGCTAAGACGGATGGGTGCACGGATAGTATTGAAGCATTTTCAAGCTCGATTATCGGGTTTCCAATACGGTGTTCCTTCTCCCCAAGCTAAGAGACGACACAACTGGTGTGTTTATATTCACGAAGTAATTAGATGTTAATTCAAATAGTAATTTGCCTCTTACAACTGGCTCGAAACGTGAAATTCTATAAATTCGACTGCCGAAATGGATCAGAGTATTATTGCCAGTGTTCGCCGGGAGAGAATAAACAGTATATTTAACAATTATGCTCGTGAACATAACGTGTATTGTTGATGATGAACACTGTGCTGTATACCTTTACAAGATACGGTTAATTCTTTCTGCTTTTCTTCCCCAACTGAGAAAAGTCACTGTAAGTCCTTGGTACGTCTTCCTTACGTGAACAAAACTCTCCTGTTCCATCCACTTCCTGTCATCTCAAAATGTATCTCAGCTGACAGTTTACAAAACTTCTTACACCAAAACACTTCAATATTAAGCAATTGTCAACAATAGAGCACAAGACTGTTGTAGTTATAAATAGAACGTTACGTAACCGACCAATTAGGATCCGCGGCACAATAGCTGGGAGCCAAGGTCAAAACAGCGGCTCCCAGGGAATGAAACTAGTGCTAGTCGGGGCTAGTTAAGTTACCAGACCTGATAAAAACTTCCCT